TCTGCCTACCACAAATTTCTTTGAGCCGGCATCTTCCGTTTTGTATTTTTTCTCCAAAGACTCCCAAAGTTCCTTTGCTGACTTGATAGGACTGTAGACGTTGTATACTGTGTTGTCAAGTCCGTTCAAGATGTAGTTCCGGCAAAGGAAATCGGCATGTTTCTAGACATCAACTGCAGCAACCACTTGCCGGTCGGTTTCATCCTCTTTCAAGATAGAAGCATCTTCACGGAAGAAACGAGCCAGGTTCAAAGTTGTAAGATAGAACAACATTTTCTGTTACCATCTTTTAAAGTCAGTTCCTGAGAACTTCTCTGGCTTCTCTCCATGATTTATTGGTACTATCACCATAGTAGGGGGTTGGTGCAATCGCAGCCACCACAGTAGTACTTGTTTGGGCATTAGTTTCAGTAGCCATCAATTCTAATTTATAAAACAAAATTATAATTAGAATTTACACTACACAGAAAATTAAAACCAAAAGCCACAAAATTTTAAATTCTGTAAAAATAGAAGAAACAAGAATTGTAACTTTTATTTTCCAATTAATTTGGAAATAAAATAAAATTTTATTTAACCAAATTAAACCAAAACTACAAAAATAAATTCTGTTAAAATAAAAGAAACAAAACAAAATGTAACTTTTATTTTCAATTAATTTGGAAATAAAATAAAATAAAATTTTATTTAAACAAATTAATTACACACGGAAAATTAAATTTCTGTATCACTTCAATAATTAAAATACTAAAATAGAATTTTAATTAATGAAAACTCAGAAAATAATTTCTAAAAACCCAAAATTAATTTCTGAAAAAATTCTACAAAAATATATTATGAATTGTTAATGACACCAGTATCGTACTACTAGTTGTCAAAGAAAATAGACAGTATATTACTACTATCTATTAAATAGCATATAATCACTATTTGTTTTTCCAACCAGAATATTATTTTGTAAATACACAAAAAATAATTTTCTTAAAAGAAGAAAGAGAAAAGGAAACAAACGAAAAATTATATAAATAGAATAATTCGAATTTGTCTTAAGATTGTTGGAACAATCTTCTGTGTAAATAAAATAAATTGAAATAAAGCCAAACAAACAAATAAATAACGTACCGAATTTATTTATCGAACTGAAAAAATTCAAAGACCAAGTCAAGTGTGTGACACTCTGTCCTTAAGACAGATTCGCCCCGTTACGGTGGTTACGGTTGAGTGGCGTCTATCTCCCAGGAGATAATGATCTTAACCAATTTGTAGTAGCACTCCAAAACAAATTGTTCGGCGAACCAAACTGTGTTCTAACTCTCTGAATATTTACTCTAAAATTAATATGGAGAATAATGCACCAAAGATGATAATTGGACAGCAAAAGGAATTATACAAACTGTTTTTTTTTTTTTTTGGATCATTCAGACTGCTGGAAATTGGCTGAATTTATAGCCAAATAATTGACCCGAACAGGTACCAAAATTAAGTGAAAAGGTGCACATAAACTTTGAACAGGTGCACCCACTATTCAAACAGATAACTGTTTGAATAGTTGATTTGTCCGTTGCAAGAACAAATTTCCAAATAATTTGAAAAAGGATCCGTTGGAACAGTTTTAAAACTGTTGGAAATTTGTTATTAAACTATTTGAATAATTTAATCAATAAAGCTAAAGGTGGAAAGTTTGAAACCTGTTTGGAATAAATATATTAAACTATTTGAATAGTTTAATCAATTTTAGGAAACCACTTTAGGAAACCAAAAATAAATTTATATTTAAATTAAATTCTCACAATAATTTTTATTGAAAAATTCAAATGACCTTTGTCTAAAAAAAAAATTAATGTTAAACCCGAAAATGAAATCAACTTCTCATTCACTCATAAATAGTTTTGACGTTCTGTCTTCACCGTGTGACTTGCCACGCGGCAAGGAACACTCCACCTCTACGGACCCACTCCAAAAAATGTTTAGGGCCCACTCAATTTTGGGCTCAAAGTCGGCCCAAAATAAGCCATATAAAACACCATTTTTCCAACACACCTCACTCTTGTAATGAAGAGGAAACAACCAAGTGAATTTGCTAAAATCATCAATGAATAACATATAGTATTTAAGCCTGAAACAGAAGAGGAAAATCGTTCCTAAACATCAATGTGAATAAGTGCCAATGGCTTATTTATAGTAGAATTTGACAAACTAAAAGCCAATCTATGACTTTTGGACACACAATAATGTTCACACAAAGCAGATCCTTTATTAGAAAGGAAAGAAGATTTAGGTGCTAAATGGTAATGAGACAAAATATGGTGAAGCTTCTTAGAAGAAGGATGACCAAGTCGAAAATGCCAATTTGGAGTGGTTAAAGATGTGGTGGAACAAAAGAAGCATGCTTGAGAAGAGGATGCAAAAGATGAGGGTGTAAAATGATAGAGACCATTTGCGTAGCATCCTTTATATATTCTTGCTCTGAACAAGAAAAGAGTTTTCATCAAAAGTAATAGTGTAATGGTTATCCACTAACTGATGAACTGAAAGTAAGTTAGAGAAAAGAGTAAGTACATGAAGCATTTTAGTGTAATGAAATGGAAAAGTAGGTGTAGAAAGTAGTCCATTACTAGTGTGGGCAATAGGTAGAGTAGTACCATCACCAACAGCCACTTGAGCATTGCCCTGATAAGGCTGATAAAAAGAAAGCTTGCTGAGATCATTTTCCATATGGGTAGTAGCTCCAGAATCAATAAACCAATTTGAATCAGACTACAATAAGCCTGAGTTTGAAGCACAGGCAACATAGGCTTTAGTATTAGCCTAAGAAGGTGCTGAGGTAGGTGAATAGGCTGAAGATAAAAAATTTCAGATGCCTGAAAAGAAGCATCAAGCCTGTACCAATAGTCTAGGGCAGTGTGATTTGCTTTACCAAAGATTTAACAAATCACTGATGCATAAGAATTGTTGTTTGTCCTGCCTCTTAAAGATTGAGTTTGAATGTGGCCTCCTCTTTGATAATGACCATGATTATTTTGATGATTCTAAGAGCCTGAACCTCAAAACCTGCCTCCATCCCTACCTCTTGAAGAACCTCTTCCTCTGTAACCACCTCTATTTACAATATAAGCAAATGGAACTTCTGAGGCTTGTATGTGCTTGAGTGAAGCCTCAACATGTATAGACTCAGAACATAGCAAAAAACACACATTTTCCATGGAGATAGGATCTAATCTAGCACGAATGGTGGTTTTCAATGCATTATACTCATCTGTTAAACCATTGAGAATTAATAAAACTAAATCTTCATCATCCACTGGTGATGAAGCCAAAGCTAATTGATCTGATATGACCTTGAATTGATTTAGATAATCTTCCATGGTTAATCATTTTTTAACAATTCGATTAAGCTTGTTTTTCAACTAATGTCTGTGAGATCTGGATAGTGAAGTGAATCTTTTGGCAAGAACACTCCAAACCTCATGACTTGTTTGACAATGTATTACAGTTATGAAAACAGATGGAGACAAAGTTGCAGTTATGCAGCTCAAGAGATGAGCATCAATGGTGATCCATTGAGTATAATTAGGATTCAGAACTTTATGATTACTGGAATCTAACACATGTGATGGAGGACATACCTCTGATCCATCAATATATCCAAGAAGTTTACTCGCTCGCAATATGTTTTGCAACTGACTTCTCCATATGATATAATTTGTTAAATCAAGCTTGGTAGAAACAAAGGCATTGAGATTTGATATTAACAGTGTAAGATTTGAAGGCAATACTAGATGAAGAAGAGCTTGTTACTGTGGTCGGGTTTAAAGATGCCATTAAAGCACCTCTCTGAAGATCAATGCTTGCGAGAGCCTAGTGCTCTGATACCATAAAGAGATTATGAATATATGATTTGTATTGAATGAATGAATGATTACATGGATTGATATCTTTACATATATGTGAGGCTGATACAAATCTACTAACCTAGCCATAACTAACTACCTGACTTAGCCATGGTCAAATTCTAACAAACTAACTGTTTACGACTGTGTAACCACTACAGGAAAAAGAGGTTCAGGCGGCGTTTTTTTAACGACGCATTTTTAAACGTCACTTTTTTTAACATTTAACGACGTTTTATAAAACGTCACATATTTATCCAACAAAATGACACCGTTTAATAATAGGAGGCGTTTAAAATGCCTCCGAATGTGTTGTGCCTCACGCGCTTGGTCTCCTCTTTTCAAAGCCTAATTTTGAATCTAAACAAAGGCATTGAGATTTGATATTAACAGTGTAAGATTTGAAGGCAATACTAGATGAAGAAGAGCTTGTTACTGTGGTCGGGTTTAAAGATGCCATTAAAGCACCTCTCTGAAGATCAATGCTTGCGAGAGCCTAGTGCTCTGATACCATAAAGAGATTATGAATATATGATTTGTATTGAATGAATGAATGATTACATGGATTGATATCTTTACATATATGTGAGGCAGATACAAATCTACTAACCTAGCCATAACTAACTACCTGACTTAGCCATGGTCAAATTCTAACAAACTAACTGTTTACGACTGTGTAACCACTACAGGAAAAAGAGGTTTAGGCGGCGTTTTTTTAACGACGCATTTTTAAACGTCACTTTTTTTAACATTTAACGACGTTTTATAAAACGTCGCATATTTATCCAACAAAACGACACCGTTTAATAATAGGAGGCGTTTAAAACGCCTTCGAATGTGTTGTGCCTCACGCGCTTGGTCTCCTCTTTTCAAAGCCTAATTTTGAATCTCAGACTCACCTAAGACCCAAATTTTCGAGCTCTCTCTCTCTCTCTAAATCTCAGAGCGATTTCGAAGCTCCACCACTGTCTCTCTCTCTCTCTCTCTAAATCTCTCTCTCAACCCTTTCTAAACCCTTATCAGAGCCATTCAGAGATTCATCTCAGTGATTTCATCACAAAGATTCAGAGCTATTTCATCTCAGTGATTTCATCGCGGAGATTCAGAGATTCAGATCGGTCTCCACCATCTGCACCATCGTCTCCATCATCATCTACACCATCGTCTCCTAAGGTGAGCTCCACCGTCTCTCTTTCTCTCTCTCTCTGAAGCTCTTCCTTCCCGTCTCTCTCTCTGTTTTAGTGATTGATGAGTTGTATATGCTCTTGTTCGCCTCCAATCCAAGATTGATCCATATGAGGTTAGGGGCCGTGCTAAACAGGTTGTGCAAGATCAGCGCCGTCTGAAGGTTGGTTTTCCAATCTCAGTTTTATCGATTCTTCTCTCTCTCTCTTTCTCTCTTTCTGTCTCCCTCTCTCTCGATCTCTCAATCTCTCTCGATCTGTCTCTCTCTCACAATCTCATTAGATGCGTACACATTGTCTGTACTTTTTTTTGGATAATTTTTTTGTCTCCTAAAAATCTCTCTATACAATTATAAATATGAATTTATATATGTATTGATTGAATAATCATCCTTATTTTATTTTCAAGCTCTCAAATGATCCAATCGTTGATCGATAGTGATGGAAAAAATCAACTCCTGTGAGAAAAGAAACCCTTTCTCATTGGAGGTAAGTTCTAATATATTTGTTTACATGTTTGTTCTGGTTTTGATCTTGTTTAGATTTGAATTGGACAACTCTGTGTTAGCTTTTTGTTCATTGTTTGGGAATTGATATCAATTTATTAGCATTTGTAGTTTGAATGCCATGTTTTGTTCATTGAAAATACAGTTAAGGTAATAAAACGACATTTAATTTTTATTATGTTGGACTGATTTTGTTTTGCCGTTAACAGAGGACAAGCATTTTGCACTACTGCTGCTGTCCTAGGAGGAAAGAGCTTGGCATCTCAGATATCTGAGTTCTATCCAATCAGAGAGTAATATGAAAATAAGGGTTTTTAATATCTATATTAATATTATACCATGTACTACCTTAAGAAATTTCCTATTTATCCTTTTTATATAATATATTATTACAATATCAGATATCAATCAGATTGATTTACTTAGATTAAAGTCTGAGTCAGATATCAATAATCGTATCTTTTTCTTTTTCTTTACTGGTGGGTACTGATGCTTTTACCTCTCATGTGTTGTGCACTTGAAAATTGGCATTATACCTTTGTATGTCAAAAAGAACTGTGTATCATTCTCTCGCTTATTGCTGTACCATTTGCCCTGGATCAGACGAAGGGTCATCTCTTTTTCATCAAACACAAGATGAAAAATCTGACAAAATAAATTGCTCACTTTGAACAACATATTGATTGGATTTCCAAGTTGATGTAGATTGTTATTGTGACTTGTATATATATATATAGTTGGTGGAATGTTGAAATTCGAGAACTTCGTTATGGTTTATGAACTACAAATAACTCATTTTGGAGCAGTTGGAGCTGTAGGAGAAAAAGGGGCAGATGAATGTGTGGGTTTAACTGTTTCTGATTTAATGAAGTAACTGTTGAACATGATCTTGCGTTTGTCTCGTTTTTTCTCCTCCAAATTATTTATTTCTAGTCCTCTCACTGCCACTAATACTATCTCACATTTGAGTTCATGGCCAGTAACCCCATATATTCATTGTGCATGTCACATCTGTATCTGTTACTAACTGGACTATAATCTTCTGTAGGTCACTGTGTTGTAATATGTGGCTATGATGCTATGACAGATGAGTTTGAGATTAGAGATCCAGCGAGCTCTGGGTACATCACTTGTTTTCCCTCTCCTTTAAATATCACTCTCCACAAACATTGGAAAATACAAAAAACAGAGCTGCTCTTTTTTTTAGTTCTTTTTTTTTTTTTGGTCATAAGAAGATAATTAACACCTAAGCATGTTGATTAAGTAAAAGAGTTGTGGAATCCTTTAGTGAATGCTTCTCGATGTGTGTTAGTTAATTTGAGAAAATACAGTGAAAAGGTTGGAAACTAGTCTTTTTCTTCCCCAGGATGTGTGTCTACACGTGCATGCACATTTAAATTTGAAATGTTTTGGGTCCATTTGAAGAAATCTAGTAAGTGTGAAGCTTTGTGCGAAATCTCATTAAAAGAGGCATCTTAACCAGAAGTTCACTATGTTGTGAAACTTTACCATGCCATAATGCATTGAGTTTTACAATTTGTGCAAATCTTTGCTTGAGCAATTAGTTTTGTTTATTGTAGTTTCCACTTTGGATGATTGTGCAGGAAACATGAGAAGGATGGGATCTTCCTTTTATGATCTCATATTGTTTGAAATGTCTTGCTGGCTATATTTTTGTTATTGTGCATTGAAGGAATGGGCCACGTCCACGGCTATTAGGTCTTTGTTTCTATTTTTCTTTTTTCTTCCCCTTCTTTTTATATGTATTTGTTTTCTTTGAAAGTACCGGAAGGAGTGTCTTAAAAACCTAAAAAAAGCACCAACAAGAGAAGGTTGTTTTAGTGAAAATGAAAATTGGCAGCAGTAGCTGTACAAATGATTGCATTTCCCATTTTGGATTGTCTATGCAGATATCTTTGGAGAAGGGAGAGAATCAGAACACCCATTCGGTACAGCTCTCTTTGCTCGTCACTTTTGATAGATGACATTCTTGTGTTTTATTTGCTCGTTCATCCATTCATTACATATATATATATATATATCATTATTTGTCGATGTATAATTTGCACCTGTAGCCAATTTTAGTGTGAACTTATAGGATAATAATCCCTGTGTTTAGGTGTCCATGTATGTCTTAGTTCAAATTATTCAACTTAAATATGCTCTAGTTAGCCCCAATCCAAGATTGATCCATATGAGGTTAGGGCCCGTGCTAAACAGGTTGTGCAAGATCAGCGCCGTCTGAAGGTTGGTCTTCCAATCTCAGTTTTATCGATTTTTCTCTCTCTCGATCTCTCAATCTCTCTCGATCTCTGTCTCTCTCGCACAATCTCGTTATATGCGTACACATTATCTGTATTTTTTTTTGGATAATTTTTTTTTTCTCTTAAAAATCTCTCTATACAAGTATATATATGAATTTATATATGTATTGATTGAATAATCATCCTTTTTTTTGCCCTGGCTCAGACGAAGGGTCATCTCCTTTTCATCAAACACAAGATGAAAAATCTGACAAAATAAATTGCTCACTTTGAACAACATATTGATTGGATTTCCAAGTTGATGTAGATTGTTATTGTGACTTGTATATATATATAGTTGGTGGAATGTTGAAATTTGAGAACTTCGTTATTGTTTATGAACTACAAATAACTCATTTTGGATCAGTTGGAGTTGTAGGAGAAAAAGGGGCAGATGAATGTGTGGGTTTAACTGTTTCTGATTTAATGAAGTAACTGTTGAACATGATCTTGCGTTTGTCTCATTTTTTCTCCTCCAAATTATTTATTTCTAGTCCTCTCACTGCCACTAATACTATCTCATATTTGAGTTCATGGCCAGTAACCCCGTATATTCATTGTGCATGCCACATCTGTATCTGTTACTAACTGGACTATAATCTTCTGTAGGTCACTATGTTGTAATATGTGGCTATGATGCTATGACAGATGAGTTTGAGATTAGAGATCCAGCGAGCTCTGGGTACATCACTTGTTTTCCCTCTCCTTTAAACATCACTATCCACAAACATTCGAAAAAACAAAAAACAGAGCTGCCTCTTTTTTTTAGTTCTTTTTTTTTTTTTTTCTTTGGTCATAAGAAGATAATTAACACCTAAGCATGTTGATTAAGTAAAAGAGTTGTGGAATCCTTTAGTGAATGCTTCTTGATGTGTGTTAGTTAATTTGAGAAAATACAGTGAAAAGGTTGGAAACTAGTCTTTTTCTTCCCCAGGATGTGTGTCTACACGTGCATGCACATTTAAATTTGAAATGTTTTGGGTCCATTTGAAGAAATCTAGTAAGTGTGAAGCTTTGTGCGAAATCTCATTAAAAGAAGCATCTTAACCAGAAGTTCACTATGTTTTGAAACTTTACCATGCCATAATGCACTGAGTTTTACAATTTGTGCAAATCTTTGCTTGAGCAATTGGTTTTGTTTATTGTAGTTTCCACTTTGGATGATTGTGCAGGAAACATGAGAAGGTCACATCAAAGCGCCTAGAAGAAGCTCGCAAATCCTTTGGAATTGATGAAGATCTTCTCTTGGTAAATTTAATACATCTTCATAAATTATTCACTCTAGAGGGTATATCTTAAAGGATGGGATCTTCCTTTTATGATCTCATATTGTTTGAAATGTCTTGCTGGCTATATTTTTGTTATCGTGTATTGAAGGAATGGGAGCTATATTCATTTGAAAAGTTATAAAGGATGATACTGCAGATTTTCACTTTCTAGAATTCAGTGTGGCTGCCTGGAAAAGGATAAAAAGGCATGAAAAATGAAGTAGCTATTCTCATGTTAAATACTTTGACATTTGTCGTGCTATCTTGTTAAGCGCTATGGGCATGTTCTTTGATGAAAAATGATAATTGGGTAGTGTGGATCCTGATAAGTACTAGACACTAACTACTTGACTCCGAATTTGGAGTAAAGGTATTTTGGTATTTCCGCACTTGTGACTTGTTGCCCTGTTTTAATAACCTATGTTAGGAGGTCGTTGTGAGGAATTGTTACACCTAACCAAGATCAGTGAAAGATGAAACACAAATAAGAATAAAAACAAGAATCTAATCAAGCACACAAGAACACAAATTTACGTGGACTCCAAACTAGGGCCACGTCCACGGCTATTAGGTCTTTGTTCCTATTTTTCTTTTTTCTTCCCCTTCTTTTTATATGTATTTGTTTTCTTTGAAAGTACTTGAAGGAGGAGTGTCTTAAAAAACTAAAAAAAGCACCAACAAGAGAAGGTTGTTTTAGTGAAAATGAGAATTGGCAGCAGTAGCTGTACAAATGATTGCATTTCCCATTTTGGATTGTCCATGCATATATCTTTGGAGAAGGGAGAGAATCAGAACACCCATTCGGTACAGCTCTCTTCGCTCGTCACTTTTGATAGATGACATTCTTGTATTTTATTTACTCGTTCGTCCATTCATTACATATATATATATATATCATTATTTGTCAATGTATAATTTGCGCCTGTAGCCAATTTTAGTGTGAACTTATAGGATAATAATCCCTGTATTTAGGTGTCCATGTATGTCTTAGTTCAAATTATTCAACTTAAATAATAATCGTATCTTTTTCTTTGGTGTCAAGAAGAACATGATTGGTTCTAGTGGATTAGATGATGATATACAGAACAATCATAAGGGGCTCCCACAAACTCCTAATAAACAAGCAAACAAACTGTCTATCCCACAAATTTCTTTTTTGGAAAAACTATTCAGACTTGTTAAACTAATATATGTTCCATGTTGAGCTTGTCACTGGAAGGTTGGCAAAGTCAGCATTCTTCATTTAGGATTTATGAACTGAACAAGCCGGGTTGTATGGCAAACTTTCTATAATGTTTTGCCGAAGTAAGATTTTGGTGACCACGCAAACTCAATTTTTGCAGTCAGTCATTTGATCAATATAGCAAAACCATTATATGGAGTTTTTAGTCTCTTGTTATTTTGGAAAGTAAATCAAAGGAATAAGATGGTGATTTTGGGGTAAATCATTTAGAAACTTGCTATGAAATTTGGATGGACAAATGTACGACAGTCAATAGGCATGGAAGCATATTTTGTTCAATTGGTAACCAATCTCTCATTTCTCCTCGCATCGACATTGGCTTTTGCTGCTTCATATTGTCTTGGATGTCATTATATAGATATAATTTTCCTTTTTAAATTGCTTTACTGTGGTGGCTGTGGTTCTGGTAATTTTTAATTATAGGAGGCCTGAATGTGGAAGGGGAGGCAGACAACTGGGATTTTGGTGTAGGTATGTACTATGCAACAGTGCGTATGATTGGCCATCATGTGTTGGGTTTGATCCCAGTAAAATTTTGAATAAGTTATTGTGTTAGTAATTTAAGACCCATGAGAGGTTCATCACATGTTTGACTTGTGATCACATCCACACCGCCCCCACTTTGATGCAAGAGAAAATAACAATTATTTTGTTTACTTACTAAATAAGGTGTTACAATCTTGCTATTGTTGCATGCATATCTTTTTATAAATCCTCAAGTTTATGGAAATGTTGCTTTCTATCTTACTCCCTCCATCCCAAATTGTTTGTCTATTTTTGGCATTTGTGCCCTTTAATCGGGTCAATAACTAATATTTTAAAAAAAAAATTAAAATTTTTCTCCCACAAATTAAATATCTCAATTAGTTCTTGTAGGTAAAATCTTCAAAATTGTTGAGAAGAGAATAAATTTAAAAATATAGATGAGTTTTTGGGATGTCTGGAATAGTGAAATAGACAAACAATTTGGAGGGAAGGAACATAAAGTACAAGAAATCATGACTACATAGGAGATGTATACCCTTTGCACTCATTACACGTAACGATACACAAATGAATTTAAATGATGTACTAATGCCTTTTTCATTTTGTTTCCAATGAGATCTATAAATTAGCGTAGTAGTTAATAAAAGGCAAGATTGTTAAGGGCTATTTCTGTTACAGACAAATGACATCTATAAATGGATGTTAAGCCTGTTATTGAGTATGAATGTTAGGTTTAATAATAAGATATGCGATAGTAAAGTGGCCTCTTTTCACTTACTATTTTTCTAGAGTTCAGTTTTTCTCCTTTGGAACCAGCTAACTTTCTTTGCATGTTGAAGCTATTGTAGAAGAGAACTTTTCACATTAGAGCATCTCATGATTTTCTTGTGTGGTGGGATATGTACTTGATAATTGTTGTGATAAGAGTTCACAATTGATCTGGTCTGCAAGCAGCATGGTCTGCGATTTCTAAATAGCGTTTTTATTTTATTTTATTTTTTCTCAATAGCGTTTCTCAATAGTGTTTTTATTTTATTTTTTCTAACAACTGAAACATGCCTTTTAAGTAGTTTAAGATGCACAACCATGGCAAATCTCAATTTGATAAGGTTATACACATTTTAAAAAAAAAAAAAATGTTAAAGACCCTTCAGAAGTCTTGCCTAATTTGATGAGTGGGAGTTAGATCAAATGACCTCTAAATTTGTTTATGCTATGAGAGTATTATTTATTTAATTTTACATGATTCTCATATGTGTCTGTATTGTCTTTAGGTATGCCCTTTTCTTTATATGTATTTAGTGCTTCTTGGTATGTGATAAAATCTTCTTGTTAGTGCTTCTTCAAGTTTTAAGTACTCTTTATAAGTATTGGGTACAAATTCTTCAATTTGTGTTTATTTTGGTGAATCTGATTGCAGTTTATGTTCTGATGCAGTGCAGGCATGTAGACCAATGAAGACTACAACTTTAATGCTATGACAAGATTTTTGAATATATGTTAGTTTGTGGTTAATGCTAAGACATAATTTTTGGAATATGTTTAGTTTGTGGTTTAATGTTAATACATGATTTTTGGATTTTGAATATATTAATTTTGTGGGTAATGTGTTTGGATATTAACTGAATGAGAAGTGAATTAGTGCTTCATTATAGCTATTTGAATGGGAGTTATTATTTATATTAGTGCTATTAAGGTATTTTTTTAGTTCAATCAAATGAAATTAGCACAATTAAAAATAATAAAAAAAAATATAACGGCGTTTCTACAAACGCCTCTTAAACCTTACTTATTTAATTTGTAAAAAGATATGACGCGTTTTACAAAAACGTCGCTAAATATCATCAGTGACGTAGCGTGTTTAGTAGGACATTTGGCGGCGTTTTTAAAAAACGCCTCCTATACTAATATTACGACGTTTTTAAAACGCCATATAGCTATAGCGACGGCCGCGTCCTCGACGTTTGGTACTAAGCGTCGCAAAAGAATTAGCGGCTTTTTAACACTTATAGCGGCGTTTTTTAAACGCCACTAAAAGTCTGTTTTTCAGCAGTGAACCTCTCTGAATTACCCCAAGTGTATGTGTGAGACCCACATTTAATAATATAATAATAATAATAATAATAATAATTATAATTGCATCATAAGACATTAATAATAAATTCATTTTACTAAAGTCTATTTAAAATATATATTAGTGCATAAATTAGTTTTAAAACAATCCAATTCAATCACTAATCAAAAACATTGTTAGGAATAATAATTTGTGAGTATTCAATATTTATTGTTTATAATTTAACTTAACGAAGATTCAACATAATAATTATCCTTACTAAATACCTTACTTAAAAACCTAAATTAATTAATTTTAGAAACCCGCACACACAAAAATAAATAAATAAAATAAATAAATAATAATAATAATTGAAATTCGTGGCAGGTGGTGATTAATCATCAACACTTGTTTGCATGCATGTAACAGTAGAGAAATAGGATCATTATTTGTGTTGGATTTAGAAGATATGATGGGATTTAGAGAGAGAAGAGAGAGAGTGTGTAAAGTCTCACGTAATGAGCTTCTATATTACAAACTAGCATATGCCCGTATCTAAAGACACGGTGTAAATAATGTTAGGATTATAATATAATTGTAATCCTAACACTATTTAAATTTATTTTTTTAATTTGATAAAATCACAAATTTATTATAAAATTTTGGAGTTCTCACAAAACTCCTTACGAAAACTCGTTTTGCTTATATAATATACAGTTAGATAGATAGATGTGCTTGGCATACATACAATTTTCACGAGTATACATATAATATTGCTTTTGCTTATATAATTATATGAAAATTATATGTATGTCCATAATGTCCTAGTGTATTAGGGGCATACATACATGTGTAAAATATATTGAACAAAAAGGAGAAAATAAAAAATAATAACAAATAGAGAGAAAAATAAAACGAGAGAAATAAAAAAATAAAAAGAAAAAGAGAGAGAAAGGTGGGATCACGTGATCATGGAAGGATTGGTAAAGAAAAGGAAAAATAAGAAAGAGAGAGCGGGAAAGTAAAAAATGTATATGTAGGATATTTTTTTAGAAAATATATCTCAGCCATTGTTTTAAAATTTGAACAGATCTGAGCCATCCAAATTCTTAATAGGACAAAAATATGTTGAAGATTCAAAAACGGTCATGCTTTATTAAAATATGTTGAAGATTCATATAAGATCTAAATTTATGAAGTCTA